AAGTATGATTGTTAAATTCGCATTTGACACGCATTTGTAAAGTCCGTTTTTTTTTTAAAGATAATTCCCCAAGTCAAAAATTTAGTAACTATGTTGGCAACACAAGCATTTTCTACATAAAAAATTGAAAGCATTGACAATTTTACATTGTATTGCCAACATAATGTCATTTTGACTTTTATCTTCAAAAAAAAACAGATTTTATTTTCATTGAAAGAAATTATATTTATCTCACTTTTAGCAAATGGATATATTTCTGTCCTTTTCTAACTTCTGATTCTGAAATAATCATTTTTTGGCTTAATGATCTAATTATTTAACAGTTTTTTTATTTTTGACGTAACCTTAATTTAAATTATTATAATTTGTAGACAATTGAAATAATTTTAGTGGATTTTTATCCATTCTGTTTTATTCCATGCGGTCTTTCATTGTGTTTTCATTTTGAAGTGAATATGGTCTTTTGAGTGTACTCGTCTGATTGGTTGAAGCTGGTTGGAATGCAGTAAGTATAAAAAACACAGGATCGTTTTCCTGCTGGCTGGGGTTTCTAAAACGACCTCTTCTTGAGAAGCGACTCTGGCAGGCAAGTCCTCTTTATTTTTAAATAATTTTGTGCTTGGAATTTCTAGATCCTCCCTTATAGATTCAATATTCAAATGATCATATCTTTACTAAGTTTTTACCTGATAAATCTTATCTTATCTGTTTTTGAAATATAAATATTATATTTTTAGTTTTTTTTTGTCTAATTGTTGGCTTCCATTTTTGTGTGAATTGCTTATTGGAGTGCCACCTTTCGTTAATAGGTAAGTCAAGACAGATTTTTGGGTACTGCTGCTCTGGCTTTCAGAATCAATTTTTAGTGTGGGAAAATTGGACCATTTGCTCTAAATAGAGTCGGTGAGAACCAAATTTGTGAGTCCATCCCCATTAACTCTTTATTGAATCCAGGCAGAGCGAACAACCATTTTCTGTTTGACTCCCTAATTTATTATCTCACTTAAAGGGTGTAATTTTTTAAATAGAAATCCAGACAGGTCAAAAATTCAGTAAAAAAGTTTTAGTTAAAACATCTCAAGAATTTTGACACATTTTGGATTTGATTAATTTCAACCCTAGGTTATCTTTTTCTGAAAGTATACAAATTCAAATTTTATTTGTAACAGACTGTTCATCAAGGCCGCGACGAGCTCTCTCGAGAGCTCATTGCACTCATCGCGCTGAAGAATCGTACCCAGAGGAGGCGGCAACGCCTCCGAAGGGACGAGGATCGCCAACGTGTTCGGGAACTCGAGAGTGCCATCAAAGATGGCATCAGCGATCTCAAGAACCGTAGATGGACACAAACTCAAGGATTAGGCGGCAGCCTGTGCGCACCCCTGGTCTTACTAGTAATGGCAGGGATTGCGTCACTGCCCCAGACAAGGCGGAAGCTTTGGCTTCTTTCCTGGAGAGCGTTCATTCCGGACTCCCACCGAATTCCCCTGAACAGGAAGAAATCGATCGTACAGCGACAGCCTTTGCTATTAGGAAATACCCCATCCCCCAGCACTTGCTCTCTGAACTTCTTGTCACGCCCGGCGAGATGACTCGAATTATCCGCCGGCTCCCAAGCGGACCAGATGGCATCCAATATCAAGCCTTCAAAAGTCTCCCGCGTAAAGTTATTTTCCAACTGGTACAAATAACTAACGCTATCCTAAAACTACAGCATTTTCCTTATCAGTGGAAAGAGGCTGTAGTGGTTATGATCCCCAAACCTGCAAAAAACCTTACTCTCCCATCCTCTTACCACCCAATCTCTCTTCTAAACTCCTTTGCCAAGCTCGTGGAGAAGTTAATCCTGACCAGGATCGTCGAGAACTTCTCCATACTCCCAAATGAGCAGTTCGAATTCCGCCCCCGTCATATAACCACTCTTCTTGCAGCCAAAATCTGCTGCGACGTCTTCCAAGCGTTCAACAGGCGCATGAACACGACTCTTCTGCTCCTAGATATGGAGCGCGCCTTCGATAGGGTCTGGCACTCAGGCCTTATCTACAAATTTCTTGCAACTTTCAATTTCCCATAACACATCATCTCCTTGATACAGTCATTTATCAGCGGCCGCACTTTCTACGTCAAACAAGATGACTCCCTCTCGAACTCCAAACCAATTCAGGCCGGAGTGCCCCAGGGGTCGGCACTCAGTCCGCTGCTGTACTTTCTGTACACAGCGGACATTCCAAAATTCCAAAATACAAATCTGGCGCTGTACGCAGATAACACTGCTGTTTACGCTCAATCCTTCTACACAGAAGCAACAAAATTTCAGCTCGCCCACCACCTTTCGATTCTTCAACCCTATTACGAAAAGTGGAAGCTTGGTGTTAATGGACAAAAAACGAAAATGATATGTTTCCACAAGAAACATACCAATAGCACCATGCCCACCCCAATTATCGTAAACAACATCCCAGTGACTTTATCCCCGAAAGCAAGATACCTCGGCATCATCTTCGATCAGAGAATGAAATTCCACCATCATGTATCCCACGCTTTGGTTCGCACCCTCAGTGCGCAGCAAAAACTCTACCCCCTGCATCAGAGTCATTACCCGCGAACCTTCAGATCGCTGGAATGACTAAGATGCAGGGCAGTCAACCCCAATAACCAACCCCGCGCACATACCCCAAGGTCACTTTTACAGTTGAGACCCGTCCATTAGACCACACTGCCCGACAAGGCACTACATTTATATTTATTGTTAAAAATCAATGAAAAGTGGGGTTTTTTAATGCCTTTTCCCCACAGCCTTTTCACCTGCGCGCTCTGCAACTCCAACTCAGAGCATCCACCCACCATCCATGAGTAGGCCAGTGTAATGGCCCAATGCGTGGTCACATGAACGACGTGTTAGGAAAACCGGGTAATGTCGTAAAAAGTTATAAGCAAGAATGGGACTAGGGGCTTGATAGGTCAGAACTTCGACCGTCAATTGGTCAAAAAAGAATATTTTTCATCAAATTTAATTGAAACGTCTGCATGCAATTAAAATTGAACACACTGTTAATTATATACCAGACGATAAAACTTCTAATTATTATTATTTTTTTATCAGAAAGTAATACACAATTCTAATATAAATAAGACGATGTGAGATGTCTGTTTTCACAGAAATCACAAGCCATTCAGAGCGTTTTTGATTGGTTTAAATCGCCAGAATTCACTATGACTGGTTTGTGATTTCTATGAGAAGAGACCTCAGTGACTAAACAAGTTCTAGGATTGGTTTATATAAAACCCAATAAATAAAATTACAAACACAAGGCTCATTACTGATATACGATGATAACGAAGTCAGCCACAATTCAAAATATCGAATTACCATAATATGTCCCGCAATTACAAAATCCTAAATTAAATGTTTCTCAAATTAGCTCCAATTTCAAATCGATATTAGCCGACTATGTAGCATTTGTCCAATTATGCAAAACGTAAGTTTGAATCGTGAATGAATCAAGTTTGATTTTCTACCGCAAATTAGGTCGTTCCAGATCCAAACTCTGCCATTAAGCAAAATTCGAAATTAGCCTTTACGGTGAGGAATCGTCTCTCGAACTCCCAGGTCCTGAATGGCCATATGTCGTATATCTCACGAGAGGATGGCGTGTGATAAAAACTTTTTTATTAAAAGCCGTTCCCAACTTGTTTCGGAAGCAGCCGTATTCTCGATTTTGACTAGTTTTTCTGTTCTATTTCGGAATCGAGAGGTGATATAAAGTTTCGCCCCGGGTTCGTAGAAACTTTTCTGTATCATTTACTGGATCAGATGAAGGGGGGCCGGAGAAAAGTTTTAGTTTTCTCCGATACAGTTTACGTTTAATTTTTAATATTTTGAGCAATTTGATCAAAAACCACAGGAGAGGAAACGTTTTTGAAAGTTGGAAATTGCTTCGAGAACATTTTTAATTTATAAAACTAACCACAAATCATATTTAATATCGTATAACTCAAATACATCACGATATAGCAAAAAGCTGACAATCTCTCTCCGTTTGTAGTTAATTTAACTGTTCAAACCCAAACAACCAACTAAATAAAACTAACATCCCGCCAACGCGGTCCGAAACAAGAGCCGGTTGTAGAAAAACAAAATTTTGTTTACCCAGTCGATGTCGGCGAAATTATTTAATTGCTGACCCTGCATCAAATCCCAAACAACGTCGATAATAACAACATTAAAATTGTGCTGATTTCTGATCGGACGCTTTATGTTTATTATTTTGTTTGACAAAACTAGAAATTAAATAAATATTACGTTATCAGTATGCCTATCGTTAATAAAGCAATTAATTTATGTTTTTGTCAACAACCAGTTGTAAATTATTCAAATTTAAAACGGGCTTACAGGACCCATAAATTCGTCCTAGTTTTATTTACAAGACAAAATATATTTTCGTATTAAAAGTCGCTCAAAACAAACGTTTCCGTCTACATAATGCAAAACACAAGGCGTACTTTTATAGCTCAATAAATCCATATACATAATATGAAAAATACGACCTTTGTTTATTCTACGAAACTTTTCGTGTTTCGATTTCTTCACAAAGTATCTATTTCGGCTCTCCTTCTCGCCGCCGAAGCTAATCCCAAAACAAAATTACCCTTCACGAGAACTCCTAAAAGTACTTAATTGCGAAACTCTTCCAGTTAGTTAGGTTTACAAATTGACACGTTCTTTTTCGTGGCCGAATTACATTTCTGACCTGGCCGTACGTTAAAGTTGCTTAACTATCTTTTCGAACCATTACCACGAAATACTTCTGCCGATATATAAAGAAACCTCTCTTTAATTCTCTGTTTTTTTGCTTAGGAAAATACGACATTGATCTTTGCAGATGGGAGTTTTTGAAAAGTAATTATTGTATTTTAATGGATAAGCACATACTTGTTGTTATTTATGTTTTTAGAGTCCAAATAGAGACTCGTGTGAAATAGACATAACTTAAGTGGACATGACTGTTCCCTTTAGCGTTTTTGGGTTTACTAGAACCAAATTTGATTACGAGCAATTGAAAGCTATTAAAGGAGATGTTGTTGCTGAGCTTTCTCGAAGTATTGTAGACAAAGAGCAAGGAAACATAGTTCCAATTCATAAATATGGGCCGAAATCACAGCAAATTCTTGTGATAATCCCTGATCAAGGGTTTGTTTTGGTTCTGTATCATGACGTTCAGTTGTTGCTGAAGGGCGTTTATCTTTGTTGCTTGTGTTTTTTTGGGTAGCCCTGGTAAGATGCCGGGTGCGGTCTGCCGCACATTGCAGCAACTTTCTCCTTGGGTTCGGTGCAAGTCGAAGTGTAGTGGGAATGTCCGTATAATTGGCATCTGTGACACTGTGTGGATCGCTCTTGGGTGCGTTGAGTTTCGACTCCTATCCTAATGTGATCGATGAAGTTGAGTTCGATGATGTTTGACTCGTTGATTGACAGGATCACCAGTGCACGCGCTACTGGGACACACCTGGCGTGGAAGTTTTCGTTCTCTAGCTCTTCTTTGATGAACTTGGTCGTCCAGTCTTCTAAGGGTCCACGGATAATTACCTTGAGTTTTTCCTCTTCTGGAAACGAGAAGAAATGGAATGGTTCTTCGTTCTTTTCGAGGAAGGCTTACATCTGTTTGTAGTTCTTGATTGGAGTGGTGTGCAGCTTGATCGCTAGTGTTGGAGAAAAACTGAATTTTCTGTGCCTTGAAGTGGGCAGTAATCTTGTTTTATTTGTTCTTGTTTCCTATAACAATTGGAGGGATCCTTTCCCATGGAGGTAGAGTAGAGAAACCGGGATTGTCACTAGCACTGGAGGTTTAAGTTGGAATTCCTTTCGGGCTGGCTGTGTTCCAGAGCCAGGTCTCGGACAATGATGCTGAGGTCGAAGGCCTTTGCACTGCTCCTGTCAATTGCTTGGGTCGTTTTTTTTTGGGCTGTGTGTCTTCACTGTCGGTAGAATTTGTTTCCTTTGGGTTCAACTGACGTGACGGATTCTTTGTCGCTGTTGTCGTGTTCGTGACGTAACGAAGTTACATAATTTTTTCTTTTATTTCAAAAGATACCACGAGTTTAGGTGCATATTTCGATAATATTATTCTCAATCATCAAATAAATTGATAACTTGCGCGTGACCTTGCTTTGAGTGTACGATTCCCTGCCGCCGCGCTATCACACGCATCGCTTGCTTGGGAAGCGCTGTGGTCTTTTGGTCATGCTGAGTTCCCTACCGCCTTAACATGTGATGCCGCTATATTTGGGTATCGTTATTGAGAATGTTTTAGTCTGCTGGATTCTGCAAATACAATTTGTGCGTTTACTTAATTTGGTGTTTGATTTTAACAGGGAGCTTTACTGGAAATTTTCAGGGTTTTATTTTGAGACGTAGTCAAGTTGAGAAACAACATCTGATGTGACCCCTAGGTAACCGTTTCTCCACTGTAACAAGCTACCTAGTGTACGTGGGCCCTCAACCACTTTAATCCTGAGAGTTTCGCCCGAAAAAACCGTAGGATAAGAAACCGATTACCGAACGAATTCGCTTCCGTACAAAAGCGCTTTACAAATTTGGCACCCGAGCAGGGACCCAACGCAATTCACTGACGTCAGCGTGAGACCGAGGCGATTTCATCATCATCAGTCCTCAATTTCTTCGAGAAGCTGTTTGCTTTGGCGACTACTATAGGTTTGTCATTACCGTACAGTTGTGATGTGGTTGCCAGATCGCATATCGCCGGGGCAAATGATCCGCTCCTTTTGGACCGTTCACAATATTTGTTTTGAAACTTCGCTCATTTTCGAGTTCACCGAGGTATGTGATACTTTTTCAAAAGAGTATAAAATAAGACGCTCGCACTATAATGGAACAGTTCCGACCGAGCCACCACCTGAAGAACACCCATTCCGCAGAGTGTTGAGCTGGAACCGAAGCTCGGAGACTTTTCACCCATACCGCCAGCGAAAGTCAGTTCCGACCGAGCCTCCAGCCCGAGAACACTCAATCCGCAGATTGTTAGGCTGTACACCAAGCTCTAGAACTGTACCGCCAAAGTTTCGACCGAGCCTCTAACCCAAGAACACTCAATGCGCAGATTCTTAAGCTGTACAACAAGCTCTAGAAATGTACCGACCGAGCCTCCAGCCCGAGAACACACAATCCGTAGAGTATTAGACTGGAACCAAAGCTTGAAGACTTTCAACTGTACTGCCATAAAAGTGATTCAACAGTCAAAGTCAATTCACTTCCAACCGTACTACCAAGTGTAAGCCTTAAACCTGCTGCAAGGAACCCGCTGAAAGCCGTTGCCGATTACCCTCCTCACCCGTATTCCGCTACCGTTAGAGAGAGCGTTAACCAGAGTTACAATTCCAGAAGGCACCGGAACAATGGAAACCTAACGGCTACCAGTACACTGAATATCACTGCCTCCACCGTAGTTACAACCAGTCCGGTAAACCCGCCCGGTAATGTACCATTAACCACGTACCCTATCTGGTACGATCCAAACGACGGCCGTGTGAGTTGGATGTATCTATTAAAGAAAGACGAGTTGATTCCTGAACTAAGTAAGTTTGGACTCGATACTACAGGTACTGTGGACATATTAAAAAGGCGACTAGTTACATTCTATCGCCAGGGAAAAGCTTCACCGGCACCACAATGACAGGGTTCAACTTTCCCTGGTTTCGGCATGTATACGACGCAGGCAAGTAGTACCGCTGCCCTGACTCAAACCAGTACTGCTAATACTGGGGCACCGAATTTGACGTCCGACATTGTGCTTGGGATAGAAATCCTGAGTCGACACAAATTCCATCTAAATTTGAGCAGTGGCGAGATATATCTGAATAACTGTCTTCGACCCTATGTAGTCCAGTTGGTCCGATAGATGTCCCGCTGAACCTGGAATTAACGTTCGCCGAAGAGGTGCTTTTAAAGAAATTTCTGGACCGAGAATTGCCAAAGTTTGACCAAATCACAGGCACCACCCCGTTAGTGAAAGATTTCATCAATTTGCTCAACTCTGACCCAATTGAAAAGAGGTACCGTCCTCAGAATCCCAAAATGCAAGAAATAATCAATACCGAAGTCTGGAAAATGTTGGATGATGTGATCATTGAGCCCTTGAAGTCCACCGGTTGTCATTGTAAAAAAGAAGAATGGCAAGCCCCGTTTCTGCATCAACTGTCAAAAGGTGAATACCGTTGGCCGAAAGGTTGCCTACCCACTTCCATTTATTAACTCCATACTAGATAAATTGAGAAGACCTGAATACATTTCCAACATCGACCTTCAACAGGGATATTGGCAGATTCCTCTTGCCGAAAAAAATAAGCTTTTACAGTACCTGGAATGGATCTATACCAGTTTCGAGTAATGCCTTTTGGATTACATTCCGCACCTGCCACATTCCAGAGGCTGATTGATCGCATTATAGGACCAGAACTCGATAGTTATTGCTTTGCATACCTGGATGACATCATAATTCTTGGCGAGATTTTTGAAGAATACCTGGCAAATTTGACTGAAGTATTCCGACGCCTGAGAGCGACAAATTTACGACTAAATCCGGAAATGTGAATTTGGAAAAATTCGAGAACTTCCAGCTTCTACTAATATCCGTGGCTTACGACGCTTTTTGGGAGTAGCTTTGTGATACCGCCGATTCGTACAGAATTTTTCTCAAGTAGCTAGCCCACTTACCCGAACCGAACTACTTCGCCTCCGTATAATCACAATTATCACAGTTGGAATCTTCGTCGGAAACTAGTTCCATCACTTATTGATTCACTATTTTCGATAGGCGTTGGATTTTGGCCGTTTTAACGTCATCCTGGGTTTTGATTCTACTGACGACGATTTTAAATTTTTGATTTTCACTGAACGTGAAATTTACTGCCTGGCGGAGATTACCGTTGTCGTTTTGCAGACGAACCACATTTAGTTTCAATGCTTCGTTTTCTTGGCGTTGCCCTTGTACTGCTTATTGAAGATCCTGGATTTTTTGTGTTGCAGGATCTGCTGCTGCCAATCACTGGCCTGTGGCTAGTTCATGATGATCTTTCACTTATCACATTGGATCACTGACTTCAGAATTTCACTTGGGAAACTAGCAGAGTTTCCCAAGAATAGAGACCCTCGGTCCAATGCGGTGCGAAATACAATAGGAACATTTTCTGCGGACGGAAAGCATTGATTGAGACGGTCAGACCTACGGGCATCGCCAAAGCAAACGGCCTTTCGGTGAAAACGGGGACTGACGATGTAATCACCTCGCTCATATGCTGACATCGCTGACATGCGCAAAACGGTCAAAGCGTTCCCTGCTCGGGCGCCAAATTTGTAGCGGTACTTTGGTTTTCCTAATGGTTGAGGGGTTTTCGGAAAACTCGGGCGCCACCCTTAGGATTATAGTGGTTAATGGCCACGTGCTCCAGGTAGCTTGTTACAGTGGAGACGGAAAGCCAGAGATCAATATGCGCATCCCCAAAATGAAATGCACAATCCAACTAACAAATTAAAGTTTTTATTTGCCCAATAACATAAGATAAAAGGAACAGTGAAAAATGGAATTAAATGAGAGGAGGAGAGCGGAGAGAGTGAACGAAGTCGGCGAGAATAACGTGTAAATACTATGTACGTGGCAAAGAATCGCGGTAATAGATCGCGATAACGATATCAGTAAATAGTTTCAAGGGATTACTGTTGCTAGGCGGCTGTACTCCTACTACTTTCAGCTCGTAATCCAGGCGCATGCGCGAACTATGCAACTGAGTGCAGGTTCGAAGAAAAGTGGACAGAATTAGAGGGGTGCGTCACCCGGTTGGTTGAATTGGCGCTAATTTTTTATCAATTGAGTGACCGGGATAAACGGAAAAATTTAGTAACTTCGTTACAATTTGGTAACACAAAAAAGGGTAAACGAATTTTCTCAGCAACTATCCTGGGAACACTCGAATGGCTGATTATCTTTTATAGCATATTTGTTTTGAGATATATTAGTAGGTATCTGATCTTGTATCTGATTCAGTTTTTGACAATTATATATGATTTTCTGTAGCAATTCACTCAG